TGAAACTAAATTCCACACTACCACACACCGATCCATTCGACCACACACAATTAGCAACATCAAACACATATTGACATACAGTCCAAGTTTTCCCAAATTCACCCAGTCAGTGCATAATCACACACGTACGGCCACCAGTTGGCCACACGTACATTTATTATAGATAGCACCGGCAGGGACGGGTCAAAATTCTCGGCATCGTCACCAACATCGGTGCACCTCCAGTACACAGCACCAACATCGACACCTCAACACCTTGAAACAGCGACTCACATCACCGTTCCAGTTTCCTGTAGATTCTCTCTCTTACCTACAGTCCCTACTTTACACTTTTTCTAACTCATCTTCTCCCTCACCGAACCTAAACCTAAATATACCATCTTTCACACTCCTGCCCCACAATTAGTCTCCTCCTTCCACTCTACCACCAAACAACTCTATTCATCATGTTCCGCCTCTCTATACCTCAAAATCGTGAATCAATTACTAAATTTGACCAGATAAAGACTTACACTATATCATCTTACCAAATTCGAAATTGGGAATTTGTTTAGCTCTGGCTTCCATCCTTCCCTAGACTTGTAAAACGCCTTTACTCGTAGCTCTCTTCGACTCCCTCTCTTGAATCTCCTTTTAAACTTTCTAAATCTCCCTTCTCCCTGGTAACCCGATCTAGCCCGATGTCTCATCCCCTATTTCATTTTCTTTCTTTTTTTCCTATTTTCTCTTTTCTTTTTTTTTTCTTCTCAGCCCACCCCTATTTATATTTACCTTCTCATCTAACCACCTCCCATCCTCACCATTCACCTAACCCTATGTACACTACATAAGACGTAGGTGATAAAAATGTTTCAAGTATTAGTAATGTGGGAGATGAGTTTGAGGTATGTTTAAACTCTTAGTTCCGCAAATTTTGTATTTTATAATATTTTTATTTGGATTAACTATGCTTATTTTGTATAATTGTTGATTATAATGATGGAAATGAGTTTGACAACAAAGATAACAAAATTGTACGTAAAGATGACAAAGATAAAAACGATTGATATTTATGTACTCATGAGAATTGTGATTAAAAAAAAGATATTCTTTATTTTTTTTAATTATGAATCTTTGTTTTAAATTAATAAAAAAATGATATCAAGTTTTTATCTGTTAATTTTATGATTATTTGGTAATTTCTTTTCCTTTTTTTTGCCCATTGTATAGTTAAGAAAATTGAAATTTATTATACACATATTATATATATCATTTCAAGTTAAAGTTAAAAATTAAATATTTGTTACTTTTTGAAAGTAATACATAATATTTTTAGTTACAAACTGTTTTCATTGTTTTTATTCATTGACGAAATAATTTCTAATTATCAACCTGTTAAAAATTATAATTCAATCTAAATCATACATAAACAAATACTTACAACTAAAAAAAATCCTCACTTATGCGTTTTACATCCACAAGGGATTATCAGAAGCAATTATGTATCTGACAAATTGATTTTATTTTATTTTCGCCTTAATTTATTATCATTATATATTATACTATTTGCATAAATTACTTTTTTTTAGATATAAACATAAACTATACTTATTACAACTAAAATCATTTTATTCATTTGTTATATCAAAGAAATAATTAGGACATGTGAAAAGGACTAGTTACTACACAAGCCAAACTCAACTTTTGAGTATTTATGAGGATTAGAGTTGAATTAAAGAAAAAGCTTCAAATTATATGAGAATTAAGATATCAAAACGGTACTTCAAATTTTATTTTTTGGTTTTTTTTTATCTCAAACGACGACGTCTAATGGGATGACATAAGAAGTTTTCAGTGTAAACAAACAAAATGCTAAAAGCCCGAAACAAATCGCTCGATTCCACGATTCAACCACGTGGCCGAAAAGCCAAAAACCCTCCCAAAAACCTCCTTCGCCTACATACGCTCAGACAACATTTAAACAAGAAAAAAAAAAAGAAAAGGAATCAGCGAAAGATAATGGCGAGACTCCAAAGCTACGAGGAGTTCGTCAAGGCCCACGGTCTGCTACTGGCGGCGTCGGGCTTGCCGCAGCAGCTGCATCGGAGGCTGTTCCAGAAGCTTACGTCAGAGACCTTTGATGCCGGTGCTCACTTCCAGATCGAGCCTTGCGAGGATGGACGTCAGAGGCGCCTCCTCCTAACCTCGGCCTCCGTGCCCATGCATTCTGATGTCTTCCTCATCGACCACGCTTGGACTTTCCGCCTTCCCGATGCCTACAAGCAGGTTAATCAATTCCGTTATTGTACTACTCACAAAGCTTCCTTTTTTCTTTTTCTTGCTTTGATAGAAATGTAATTCACTAACACTTGACACTTCCAAGAGGGTCTCTAAGTGTTTATGGAATCTAATACTTTAATTGCGCCGTGCAATTGATTCTTTTTGGCATTTGTTTGATGTTTTCAAATCTCCGGTAAGCAAGTTACTTGGAAATTGTTAACAAAAATGATAGACGCTTGCCTAACTATGACTATGAACTACCTTTCGGAGAGAGAAACTGATATATCTGCAAGATGATAAAATTGACGTTCTGATATCTCTGGCGTTTGAATTTTTTATTAATGAAGAATCATGTGTTTGCATTGGAGCCGTAATTTTATTTCCCTGGGCAAAACACGCATTAGTTTATCCCATGAAGACAAGATGTTTCTAATATTTCCTGCCGTAGCATAATTTTGATGTGGGCTAATTTTTTCTTCTCGTGTCATGTTGCCACGTTTCTGGTGCTCAACATGTTGCAGCTGCTTGAGGTTCCGGGGTTGGCTCAAAGGATGGCTTCAGTAATGTGTGTGGGCACTGACTTGAGCTCAGGACTTGAAAATGGAGTTTCGCAGCAAGATAATGATAATTTGAGTGTTGATGAGATATTGGCAAATGAGATAAACTATTCCAAGGAGAGAGGCAAGGACAGTACTAGCTGGCTAGAGCTTGAGGAGCTTGGCATTGATGATGATATGCTACTATCTCTTGATCTGTCTAGTAAATTTCCAGTATGTCTATACTTTTCTTTAGATAAATCTTGACATATGCAAATATATATATATATATCTAAAAACAATATGTAAAGCTTTATATAAGTTGCTATATTGGTTAATTCAGTAAAACCTTCACTATAATGAGTAAAACTCACGTTGCTGTGCTACTTGTAAAGAATAATTTAAATGTTGGTTCTTTAGAATTTGGCCAGGATCAAGTGTTTACTCGAAGAAAAAATCTTTGTGGGGCTATGTTTCATTTAACTAAACTGTGTCAATAATCTTTTTAAAAAATTATCTTTGAGAGAAAAAGAAACCTTTAAGTGCAGCTCACTTTATGAGTTATGTGTGCTTCAAGATCTCAAGTGCACATATTAGCCATATTTGCTTTCTCTCTTCTTACATGTGTCACGTTTGTATGGTGATGCCTAGATATTGTTTCTAAAGTTCTTTGTATGTGTTGCCTTCTGCTTTGGTGGATTAGGGTTTAATAGCACTTAGCCTCTATGGAAACAAGCTCAAGAATGTGGAAGTAATTATTCAGGAGGTCACTAAATTTAAGAACCTAAGAGCTCTCTGGCTGAATAACAATCCAGTTCTTAATAAGTGGTATGTCTGGTGAATGCTGATATTCATTGAAAAAATAGCAGTCATTATTTGATGAAAGATATCTGACTGATTATACATCCAGTGATGGTCGTATGACTGATGCAATTCTCCACGGATGTCCAAAGCTGGAAATCTTCAACTCACATTTCACTCGGAGTTTTGGTGTCTGGGCGTTGGGATTTTGTGGAAATGTATTTGGGAAGGATAATCCAGGCTGCGATAATCAGGACCGGCCCCTTCATACTGTGACATCGCTTGAACTTTCAAATAGAAGCATTCACAATCTGGTCAATAAGGTGCAACTATTTGCTGTGACTATTTACTACTGTATTTCTTATCATTCCTATTTGAAAATTCTAGTCATCAAATATAAGTTTGATTGTACTTTTTTTTTTTCTTTTTAAATTAAGGTTCAAAAGATATGCCTTCTCTGGATAGGAGTGCTTCTACAAGTTGTTTCAGATCTTTATTAATTTCATATCGATTTTTTTTTTTAAATTTTATAGTTCCATTTCTTTTCCTTAGGCATTTTCTCCAGTTGAATTGCCGTTTCTTTCACATTTGAACATCCGGGAAAATCCATTGGAAGAGAACTCAGTAGCTGAATTATTCCAAATCTTGAAGGGATTGCCTTCCTTGTGCTCGTTGGAGGTAGTTTTTGGAAGTAACTCTTCTATTTTCTGTTGTCAAAGGATTGGTGCTCAGAGCATGGAGAGAAAATGTTAGAGATATTTGAACTCTCTTTTATGCAGGTGGATATACCTGGTCCCCTTGGAGAAAGCGCCGTACAAATTCTTGAATCTCTTCCAAAACTTTCTTTATTGAATGGTGTTAATGCATCTAAAATCTTAGAAATGGAGAAGCATGTAGTTGATTCAATGCTTGAGCTCCGTCTTCCTGAATGGACTCCTGAGGAACCTCTTGCTGATCGTATTCTGAATGCTATGTGGTTATATGTAATGACATATAGACTTGCAGATGAAGAAAAGATTGATGAAACCTCTGTCTGGTATGTGCTTTTGCGTTAATTACTTTTATTAGCAGGACATTTTACTCATATTTCAACTTTAATTTCAAAATCTTTGCACACGGACTTTGTGAGGGCAGAAATTTGATTAGAAGACCTTTATGTTCATTCTTCATATTTTTGTTGAAAGGGTGAATGCATGAAGGGATTTCTAAGCTGGAACAAGCAAATTTCAAATTTCACTCTCTGCTTTAATTCATTTCTTTTTGAATCTGGCTTTCTCTCTTGTTCCAAGGTGGATTATTGTTCTATCCAATAGAATGATAGAACAAGTATGTATTATGATACAATGAGTGAGTATAAGTGTACATCATAATGCATTAGAAATGAGAATGTGAATTCTTAGTGGAGGACTGGTGACAAGGATGGATTGCTAACAGTTGCTTCATGATCTTCATTTATTTATTTTTGTACTTATTTTACTATTTTTATTGTTCTTGTTATTGATTGCCTAGAGATTACTGAACAGTCCAAATCTTGTGAAGATTTAAATCCGTCTATGCCTATGAATATTTACACATGAAATATTAACAAATACCAATATGATGGAGGTGTGGAGAAAGTGCTTTTCTTTCATGTGAATACTTGTGCGTTAATAGTTAATGCATTTATTTCAATGGAACAAAAGCATTAAGACTTTAGATGTCTAATACGAAACAGCCGATTTTGTTGAGGGACAGTAGTTAATTTTGAAATATGCGCATGTGCATTAGTGACTGCTACAAAATGAGCCGATTCCTGTGATGGAGTTCTTTATAGGTATGTAATGGACGAGCTAGGGTCAGCTTTACGGCACAGTGATGAGCCAAATTTCAGAGTTGCTCCTTTCCTCTTCATGCCAGAGGGAAAACTTGATTCTGCTGTGAGGTAATTCTTTTTGCCTTTCCTCTGTCTGCTGTCTTACAGAACTGTTACCTACTATTTTTGCTTTCAGGATTTAATGTCTAACCTTAAAAAAATTAGCTCTTTCTCCTGTACTGGCTGTTGTGAACCTGGAATGCACATACTCATGATCTGTATTTATTTATGGGTTTGAGATTTGTACTGTTCTTATCTCTTGGTAGTAAAGTTATTACAAAGTAGTGACATGAAAAGTTTACTTGTCAGCTATTCCATATTATGGCCAACGCAGAATGTTCAAGAAGGTGACGAGTGCACTCGCGATTTCCTGTCTGGTATTGGAGAGGAAAAACAACGATCTGCCAGACTTACAGCCTGGTTCCAGACACCTCAAAATTATTTTATTCAAGTTCTGTTTCCTTGCGATAAGACTTGCTGATATTTCTTGCGCCTGTTTCTTCTTGATTTGGTAGGGGTACTGATTGACATCACTTTTTTCAGGAGTTCAAGAAACACCATCAGAAATTGCAATCGAGGCATATAAAATCTCTGCCCCAGACGCCGTCTACTACGGTAACTGCATATCATAGTGATGGGCCCCCCCTACGCGTTTATACTGATATACCTCAAGTCGAAGAATTTTTGACAAGACCTGAATTTGTTATCAGTACGTATTCTGATCAATTGCTGAAGTCATGTTTCTGGACTCTTTTTTATTTCTCTTCATGCAATGAATATAATGAGTTGCTTACAGGTTCATTATGGGTTATTTGATTTAAATGTCTTTGTCAGTTTGGATGATTTGTTTAGCATTTTTCTTCTCCTTTTGCTTTGTGGTTCTCATGGTGTGTAAAACAAATGTTTTGGTATTATTAACTTTGATATCATTGTACTTTTTTTTTGAAGTCTTTTACTTAAAAAAGAGGTCTGACCTATTTATTTCTTCCTCCTTTTGGACTTTTTTATATCTCTAAATGCTTACAGCAACTGAGCCGATGGATGCGGATATTATATGGACAAGTATACAGGTAGATGAAGAGATGAGAAAAGCTACTGGAATAACAGATCAGCAGTACACTAATCAGTTTCCCTTTGAGGCTTGCCTTGTCATGAAACATCATTTGGCGGAGACCATTCAGAAGGTTAAGTTAGCAAACTTAGTTTATACTCAGATGTCAAACAGTAGTTAGGGTTATTATCAGAGATTTTATGGAGATTATGAAGAAAGTTAAAGTTAGATTGTATACCTTTGTGTTAGAAGCTATGGTAGCTCTACCTGGTGGAGTCTGTTAATCTAAGATCTCTAATTGCTAAATTATTTTTTTCCTCTTTGTTTTTCCCTTCCAAAAAAAATGTAAGATCTTGAACTACAGGTTAATTAGTTCTAGTTCCTTTTTCCAACAGGCACAGGGATCTCCAGAATGGTTGCAGCCTACTTATAATCTTGAAACACATCTATCTCAACTTATTGGTGACTATTATATACGAGAACAAGATCGATTGAACAATCTATGGATCTTAAAACCTTGGAACATGGCACGGACTATTGATACAACTGTTACCGACAATTTATCTGCTATTATACGTCTGATGGAAACTGGACCTAAAATATGTCAGAAGTATATTGAGCACCCTTCCTTGTTCAAAGGAAACAAGTTTGATCTCCGTTACATTGTACTGGTTTGCAGTATATGTCCTTTGGAAATATTTCTTTCAGATGTTTTCTGGGTACGTACTTCTGTTAATACAAAGTCTTTCTGACACCAATAGAATGTGATAATAAATTCTTCTTGGTTGATTATTTTCTAATATTAAGATGCTACATTCAATTATAGCTCTTTTTGGTTCAAAATTTCAGGTTAGATTGGCAAACAATCCTTATTCATTGGAGAAACACAGCTTTTTTGAGTATGAGACTCACTTCACTGTTATGGTATGCATAAGAACATCATTTTGCAGGATGGATGATTCCATTTATTTGGTTTTGGGGGCTGTGAATTTTCGCTACTTTTGTCCTAGATTTTTAAGCTGAAATTTTTGCTACTTAATTTCACCAGATATTTCTTTTATCAATTACCGGACATTCCTTTAGTTAGTAGTTACATAAATTAATACGTTTCAGCATGGTAGTTGGTCCTCTGATTGCTTTTTTGATTTTCAGAACTATCGTGGGAGATTGAATAACAAGAACACGCCAGAATTTGTGAGAGAGTTTGAAGAGGAACATCATGGTATCCAGCGCAACTTAATTATGCTTGTCATGATAGATTACAGTTGTCTAGTGCACCGGTACTGGTACTGAAGTATCTTGATATGTGTATTCCTCTTCTTGCTGCAGTTAAATGGTCTGACATTCATCAGAGAGTAAAAAATATGATCCGTTCTGTGTTTGAGTCAGCTGCAGTAGTACATCCTGAGATGCATAATCCAAAATCTAGGGCCATGTATGGTGTGGATGTGATGCTTGACAGTTCATTTCAGCCAAAGTTATTGGAGGTTTGTAACTGAAGCAACATTTGCCCACAACCATACTCTAAATATCATAAAACTTCTCTTATCTATCTTGATTGGCTTTTCATTCCCCAGTATCACTTTTCTGCTCATCATTTTTCACAAAGTAACACATTAGTTTACGGTGGTGTAGGTTACCTATTGTCCTGACTGTACAAGAGCATGTAAATATGACACGGAAGCAATATGTGGAAATGGTGAAGTGCTTAAAGGTCGTGATTTTTTCAATTATGTGTTTGGTTGTCTCTTTTTGAATGAAACTACTAATGTAACGCAATTGTAATTCCAGTTCTACCTAATTGTTACTTGTATGATTGTTGCGGTGTACCGAATTAGAACACTAGACATTGTTCTTATGGTCTGTTTTCCTTTTTTTGTTGAGTCTCCCGGCCTTTGTACGCAATGTGTCTCCAAATCATGTTTGGTTTTTTCAACCACGTTGTTTGTGTATTAGACAGGGAGTTATGGTAAATCATGCACGATGAATTTAAAAAAAAAGTGGCTTTCTGATGAAGTTGTTTCTCATTACGTTTAACCATTTAAAACAGATAAGCTTTCAAGACAACTACTTAAAACAAAGCCCGTAGCAATAGGGAAATGCAGATTCCATATAATTGTATTTTTATATGTTATTATAAACTTTTATTATTGTTTTTTTAAATAATTCACCGATTTAAAAATTAGAAAATATAGGCCATCCTTTGAACCTTCAACTAACTGCAACCCGAGTCGAGCAGTGTTCCCAACCCCTTTGCTTGTCCACATATTCATCCCTTCTTGTATGTGGATTAAAAGCTTTGAAGTAATAGAAGTTACTTATTAAAACAGAATTCCTGACTTTATTGCCTTTATATAACAAGCTAAGAGCTTTCTTAGTAGTTACAAGGTGAGGGAGGTTCGAAGCAATCATACTCCCTTTGTTGCCGTAGTTGCTAGGTGTTCAACAATCAATACTTCGGACTTTGTTATAGTTTACGACAAGTTTAGGGTTCCTAACAATTATACTCGGATGTTTCCAGGAGAGAATTGCTTCTAACCGTAGAGTGGATATGATAATCTTTTTAGACCGCTTCTATGATAGATTGCTTTTCTCTTTGCAACTTTTCATTACTTCCTTCGAGCATTCAACCTTCTTCCTAGAAAAATTGCTCCCAATTGTTTTAGGTCGATGGTTGTATCAATCATTCTTTTCTCTTCCAAGAATATCCCATTAATCTTGAATTATTTTTCTTCTTTTCTTGTCATAAAGGTGAATGAGGGTCATTTTTGGTATGTAAACTTGGAAAGATTCAACTTTTCTGATGAAGGTTCTTGATTTACTTAGGGAGTAGAAAGATATATTCTTTTTTGCTTCTTTTATAAATCGGGAGTTTGATACTGTCAAGTTTGGGATGATGTGGAACATATTCCTCTCATCCTTTTAGGGTCTCACGCCATTCACCTCCCACTCTCAAAGTCTCATACTTGAATTTCCTTCTCGTTCATGACGATCACGAGAATGCCTTCGACCTATGGTGCTTCTCATAATGGACAGTACGTTCTTCCGTATATACATCAGTTTACTTGGGTTCCGGTTTCAACCTTCATTCTTTAGCTATCTTTCATGTGCCTCAAACCTGGCGATGTTGCTTGCAGCCAATTGAGTGTTGCAGATTGTTTCATACAACTTGGGTGAGAAACTGAATGGGGGAGGGGTGGAGGAGGATTTATTTACATAAATGACAGAAGGTGGTAAAATCCCAAGAAATTCAACTACATATTGTTAAACATGCTTTGAACTATGCAAATTGAGTTTCAAATTAAAATAGCGAGTGAGTCTGTAAACTCACTTCATATCATATCATGTCTGTTTTTTATCCTTATATATATATATATATATATATGTATTATATTTAAAAATTTAGTAATGGTATTTTGCCATCTTATTTGTCCATTTAAAAAAAACAACTACCCCTCTTGAGTTATTGAACATTAAATTGATTTGAAAATACAATTTTCGTTTAGATATTTATTTTATTTGTATTATATTCTTAATTTTATTTTATAAAAAATCGCATTATACTATAATAGTGTGAAAAAGAAGATCATGTCTATGATATTGTATCTAATTAGGAGCTATACACAAGAAGGATGAGCCTTAGAGCAGTTGAGTTAGGGATGATGATAAAGTTTGGGGCCGAGTTTCACCATTTCCGAACCCAACTTATATAATTTCTTGAATTATTGTCTATGTAATTGACTCTTTTTTAAAATTTTGCTCTTAACAATTCTCGCCTTTAAGATATCAATCCAATTAGATTACGAATTACAAATATTTAAAAAAGTGCCAAATAATTAACCTATTTGTCAAGCAGTTTTATATAATATTTTCGATTTGTAAACCTTATCATAATCGTCCCTCATTTGTTTATCGACAAGTGTATTTATAACTTTCTTGTACCAAGTTTTCCTTACACATTTTCTAATTATAGATCTCTACTCATTGTTAATAAATCAATTAAGATTTATTGTTATGATAGATAACTATTTTGTAAAATTCATTAACATTGGAACTCTTTATCTGAATGATTGACCTCAAAACTGAGAGGAAGAACCGGTAAGAGTTATACAATCATCTATCCTGGTTCTATATTTTTTCAAATAAGATGTTTAGCTAATTACATAAATCTAACCCAAAAATCAATTTTTTCTTGCAATTTTTCCATCTTTCCACTCATCTTTTGCATGAACCCACCTCTAAACGGAGTACGTTTATAAAATTCTTCTCTTTTTCAGATCATGTCAAATTTGCAGGCTATCCGATTTGCACCCAACTTAGTGACTATATTCTATTTATGTATACATATTTACTCATATATATATATATATACATATATATCTCTTCACATATATTTATATAGTTCAGAATACATATATAACAGGTCAGATTGGATAGGTTCATCTTGCATCAAACCCAAACCCACCATTTAACAAAAATAGGGTATCGAATTGATGGATTCAATTCAGAATACTCGTATTAAGCAGGTCTGAATCAAAAATACCATCACTTGATAGATTAAAAGGAATCACAAGATCGGACAAAACAAAGATTTCATATCCCATATAAAAGACTTCGGCTTCATATATTGTCATATACAATGGCCTACAAAGAACCAAAAAGGAAAGAAAAATCTATATCACTTCAAACATCTTTGTAGTGCTAGCACTGCGATGCCTCTTCTTCAAACTTCCTCTGATGTGTTACAAATAATTTCAGTGCAGTTACTTGGGGACAAATTACTGCATACCTGGATATAAACTGAATAGATAGGTTTACTGCTGCTGCTCAATAGGGGCGGCTGACTCCTGGGATTGGCTTCTCAGGAGAGAAATTTTCTTTTGCAAATCAAGATTTGACATCCGCTCAACCTCCAACGCTCTCTCAAGCTATATATAATTCATGGGTTGAATTAGCACAATCATTTCATAGAAGATAGATTACTGTCAGCCAATAATAATCACTAACAGATAGCAGAAAGAAATACGATGATGGTACCTTCGCTGCCCGCGTACTCCATTCTCCTAAAATGGCTCTCAGCCTTTCATTCTCCTCAACATACTGCACCAGCATTTCAAAGAAAATTACGATAAATATTCAATTTGCAAATTAATATAAAGATTTTCATCCACGTAAATAATTGCATAGGCCATAAAACTCATTAGAAACAACTAGATGGTTTCTGTATCCATAAAGCCTTTAACAATTTCTTGACAAGTTCTAAGGATTGATTTCCTAAGTTACTTTTTGAGTTCAAGGGTATTGCCCTTTGCTCAAGTGATACAAGCTAACCTTTGTGCTTAGATTCAAAATGTTTGCAATGGCAAGGATATGGAGGAAGTCAATGGAAAAAATATCAGAAGCATTCTAACTGAAGGTAAGTTAATATACATATGTCCGAATGAGCTGTAGTGCAATTTTATAGTAAAAGGTAAGAAGATTTTTTTTTTTTTGAAATAAGTAAAAGATAAGAAGAAAATATTAATTTTCCTCTAACGGAGAGATGGTAGAAACACGACATCTGGGACTAAAGAATGTTTGATAAGTTTTGGAGCCCTGCTATATTGATGCCAAATGGACCAAAGAATCTTACCCAGGATTTATTTTTCCCAGGTAATCTCTTCCTTCCAGAGGTCAAAGCTAAGTGCTCATACCTGATTGTTTGTACTGCGTACACGCTGGATTTCGGCATCTCTCTCAGCTATCAAAGAACGAGCAAGTCTAAGTTCAGACTGAAGCTGATCCATCTGCATGGAAAATAACCTCAGTATATATATGGCAGAAATACAAATATTATAAGAAAGAGAAAGGGGAGTATAACAACCAAGGACTAGTTATTCCCAAAAGAAAGAACAAAAATAAAAGTAAAAAGAACCAGTAGTGCTCAATAGATGATGGCCACTAATCTCTATACAAAATAAACAGAGAATAATCTTTAAGATGCTCACGGCTGAAAACCAAAGAGACACTGAAAACACAATCAATTCCAAAGAAATGAAAATGAGAGAAATGGTCTACAAAAATCCCAGCATTATTCTCCAGCCAAATCACCCATGAACAAGCAAAAACAGCATTGCGCCAACAAGACTTGGCCTCCTTCCTCCTATCAAGACCACAAAGAGCAGAAGAAGAAGAACACCCAAGATGAGGAGAAACTCAGTCTTAACTTTGTCAAATAAATGGGTCCAAAGTCTCCAAGCTACATCTTAATGCAGAAAAAGGTGACCATGAATGAAGCACATCACACACATCCCAGGAAAGAAGGCACAGTTTCGCCTGCGAGCTTGAAGCAAATAGCTGGTATCTTGAACTGTTCATAACTACAGCCCAAACAAAAGACCTGCTGGAAAAAGAACTTTCCAAAAACATTGAGTAGAAACATCATTGCAAATTGTTTTGGTTATTGGTCAACCCTCATATTCCATGAAGGATTTAGGAGAATTGATTAATATCCTTATTGACATGTAAATAATTTTATACATGGGTTTGCACACCCTTAGTGCTTGTATTTAATGATACTTAAACTTTTTATTTCAAAAAAAAAATATTATTACAAATTGAAAGATTACAGGTTAAGAACACAAAGGACCTGCAGATAAAAATGTTGGAAGAGTCTAAAGACCAAATTCTACAATGAGGGCCTAGATAGAATCAATGAGCTAAATCGAAGAAACCACATATCACTGCACAATCATTGAGATTTCTAAAAGAAGATATGTTTCATGAATCAAAACCCATAGAATAATAATAAAAATTATGATATAAGACACAGATTGTACAAATGCGGAACATAATAACCAATGAAATATTGTCAATCTGGGGTTGCTCTCAAGAAAGAAAGGGATGAAAACATCATCACCTACCCTCAGTCTACGAAAGGGATGAAAAGATGCATAAAAAACTAAAAATTGCTTTCAAGGGACTTCTAGATGTTGTAAAGCACCAATTTGGATTGTCAACCATTTTGATATAGACCAAACTTACTGTTAATCACCCAATGCCAGTCAGGTTTCAATGAAAACCACCATAACTATTTAGCCAATAAACACAGATTTTCCAAAAAAAGTTCCTAATGACAAGATCCTCTATCATTCTTAAACAAACAAGACATCCCATTTCACTAAATGGTCCTTATAGACTCACTCGACACAGACTAAAAGGAATTCTTTATCACCCTCTATCCATGACACCTAGGAGATTTGAACAAAGAAATAGCAAAGAAGAATACTGGAAAGAAATTCTTGAACAAGAGTGACCAAACCACCAAGGAAGAAAAGGGCTCCTCTGCAAAATTTAGGGCACTTCTAAATCCTACAAACCATTGGATTCCAAAAGGAAGCAAAGGAAGCAATCTGAGTACCTCCCAGAGAGACAACTAGGTAAGTGATGTGTCACTCTAAAACATCATGTGCCATTGACTCTGCCCACCCTCCAACCAACTGACCCTTCACATTGATATCAACCAGGCTGCTCTTCTTGAGATCGATACACAGACTCAATATAGTCTCAAACATATGCAAGATTTTAAGAGAATTCCAAGACATTCACTGATCATGGAAAAGAAAAAGGACCACATCATCAACAAACCAAAGATAGGGAATTACCACACTATTCCAGACCATATAAAGACACACAATCACACCTGTTTTTGCCACAAGATAACATCTGGCCGAATACATACACCATAATAGTGAAAGAACAAGGGAAAAATGTGATATCACCTTACCTCAAAGCTCTTTACCCCTGAAACCTCTAGTACTGTCATTCACCAAAATAGAGGACATAGAGGGGAGACACCCTGAAATCCAACTCCACCTCATGCCAAAGCCTTTCCTCTCCATAACATTTTTTTGAAAGGGTTAGACTACCCAATCATAAGCCTTTTGAAACTCCAATTTGGATACCAAAACCTTATTATTCAACCTCTGAGATTTATCCACCCCATCTCATTAGCAGTAAGAGTAGGTGACTAATTAGAGTTTAAAGTGATTTTTCCAAGAGTTTAAACTGATAGAAAACAACTTGATACCATTTCAGGCACAAATTCACAAGGATAAAAACAGGGATCAACCACATGTATGCCTTACATTGTATCGAAATTAATCAATGAAAATAGGACAACTATCAAGATTCAATTTTTTTTTTGAAATAAAAGTATAAATATATTAACAAACACCAAAGAGGTGCCAAAGATTATACAAATTATTTACAACTCTAACAAAATTTCTGCAAAGTCCCTTAAATTCTCCCTAAAATAAAGAGGATGATGGATAATCAAAAAATCAAAAATCTGGAACCATCTGTTCCTAATTCTATCAAAATCCCCCTCCTCCACAATCCTCTCAAAAGCTCTTATATTCCTCTCATTCCAAATTACCTAAAAGATGGTAG